GGGGTCGGTTTTATCGGATCGCCGAAACAGAGTTCCAGATTAGATTCGGACCGGTCCTGCGCGAGGAGTTTTTAACGCATTCGCTAAGAACCCCGAAGGCGAAACTCCCTTAAACGAGTTACGGGTCGAACTTGTTCCAACGGACGCAACGCCGGCCTCCGTCCCTCTCGGGTACCCGCGCACACCTTGACACCCCTCGCGTTCGTTCGAGTTCCCGTTTCCCTTTTACAGGAACGGACGAACACCGGAAATCGTTGTTCGTTCGTCGACCGGCGACGGTCCGAGAATCTCGTTTCGCGATATCACCATGACGCGGAAAACTCGTTTCCCTTCGCTTCAGCCGCGCGCGACCGTCTTCCTAGAACAGTTCCGAGCCGGACGATGCCGCGATCGAGGATCCGGATGCGATCTTCCGGACACGTTGGGGGCCGAGCCGAGTAAACGTTCGACGGCTTTCGCGGATCGTTCGCACCGAGGCAGGCCAGTTTTTGGGGGCCGAATTCAACGATGCCCCGTTCCATCGAGAGAGAGAGAGAGAGAGAGAGAGAGAGAGAGAGAGAGAGAGAGAGAGAGAGAGAGAGAGACAGACAGACAGACAGACAGACAGAGCTCCGGCTACGAAACGCCTTTCCGTGTACGCGGCAATTATTGCGGCAACTTCGAGATCGATCGGGAAGCAACGCGTACGGCTCGAGACACCGCGATCGAGCCGTTCGACGTTGTCATCCTGACGCGTTCGAACGATCGATATTAAAAGCCGAGAAACACCGGTTCCTTCGAGATACCGTCGCCTTCCCTCCTTTCGGAAAAGCGGTTGTCGGGAATCGGCGGACCGCTTCTCCCCGGGCTGTTTTCGGCGCGAGGAAACGGTCGTTTCGAGCAGAGAACTTGCCGCAGGACGATACGCCGAACCCGCGAACGGGATTTCGAGTCGCGGAGGCACGCCGCAACCATCCAGACTCTGGACCGCGAAAGGTCGAGTTACTTTCACGCCGAGGAGTCGCGACCGCTTTCGTTCGCCACCTGTTTCACATCGACGATCGGCGAGCTCGAATGCTACGAGCGCGACGAAATAGTCTCGTCGACGCGTTCGACGTTTCTACGAGAACCGCGTCCTGCCGAGGGGCCTCGTCGAGACCCGGATCGGTTCGGGATCTCTTTGCAAAGATCGCGATACGTCGGAGAAGCGCGAAGCGTCCTTGAAGTACACGGTTCCCGGCATCTCAACCGGGTCCTCGAATCGCGACACGGTCGCGCGATTTCACGATGCTCCTCGAGTTCCGCGCCTCTTTCTTCGACGTCTCGAGACGTCCGAGACCGCGTCGGATGCAACGACGGAGGCCGGTCGGTTCCGACCTTTGCGGCTGCCGGTTCGAGACCTTATTTCGCGGAGAGGACACCGAGGTAGGGCTGGAAAGTGAGACGGAAAGAGAGCGGAGAGGAGAGGAGAGGAGAGGAGAGGAGAGGAGAGGAGCGAGTTCCGCGCCTCTTTCTTCGACGTCTCGGAGAGAGAGAGAGAGAGGCTGCCCTTCGAGGGAGAGCGGCCAGACCGGTCGGCGGACGCGCGGAAAAAGGAGCAGAGGCTGGAACGCGCGATCCCGCCGCGCCGATACTTGTCACGACCCGGCCGAGAAGACCTTTGAAGATTCGAGGAAGACGAAGAAAAGGAAGACGCGGGGGACTACGGTGCTCTCTCCGCGGCGGTTGCTCCGGAGGCTTGAAAAACAGCCGGGGCATTGATACAACGAACGTGACCGGCGCACCTTCGACGCTATTACCCGCTCCGGCAAAAAGACCGCGGGGTCCTTGGTCCGCGGCGCGATAAATCGGCGCTAAGTCGAAATTACGATCCGACCGAGGGGGCGGAACGGCGGCAGCGGCGGCGGCGGTGCGTGTCCTGGCAACCGGGCCGGGGCTTAAGCCTCGTTCCGGCACCATCTGGATCGACCGGACTCTCGCCGGATACCCTGCACCCTCGCATCGATGGTAATTGCTCGCGGATGGGGCATTCGCGCGCTTTTTATACAGGACTTCCCGGCACGGACGGTTTTGTTCGGCCGCTCCTGGACAAGGCGGCTCGAACGATTCGTCCGACGGCCGTGCGGCCGATACCGCGCGATCTCGCCTCGATCCGCAGGAACTCGCTCTGCCTCTTGGCTCGACCGTGAGCCGCGACTACCTGTTACGAAACGTTTCGTAACAGGGAAACGGTCGCGACTCCTTCTTCGAACGATGGCGCGTGTAATGCTATGAGAAAAAAAAGGAAATAGACGAAGCACGCGCGAGCGGACGTACAAATTCGAGCCAATATTGACATTCGAAATGATTTGACACGATCGATTCGATGAAAAGACGAGCGGGGAAACGAAACGAACGACGCGTGTACCAAAATGTCCATTTTCATAAACGATATCGAAATAAACGAGATTGGAAAGAAAACGCGTTCTCCTCCTCGACAGTTTTCACAAATGAAAACTAAAACCGTACTAAATTCCATCGCGTCCTACATTTTACGATCTTCCGAATACTCTGCGCGCAACGAATGCATAAAGTTTCGCAACAGCCGCAAGCGTCGATGAAAGCACCGCTGGCGAAACGATCGTCGGTGGTACCAAGGTAACTCTGCAGCCTGTACCCTGCAGCCTGCAGCCTGCAGCCTGCAGCACGGATTGATGAACAAGATAAATGCACCGACTGCCACGACCGTTGCGATCCCATAACTTTGAATCGAATATTTCATCGTTACGTTATCGACGTCACAAAATTCAGTGGCAGATGCGCGGCACCGTTGCGGTATCTACGCGTAATACGAACGAAGGGACGAAAATCGATCGAGTCGAGAGATTCGAAAATACTTCAATTCGAAATTACTCCGTTCGCGAACAGTTACCATTTTCGGGCATCGATCGCGGATAGTCGAATAGGAATTTGTTTCTTTTCTGGAAACTGATAATCGCTGCGCGACGCGTATTTCCTATCGGTCCGCGATACCTTCGATGCGCGGCACGGGTCGGGTTCTCCGGAATTCCGGCAACTCGACCACCGTTTCGCGTTCGAAATTTAAACAAATATGCCGGACTATTTTTTCGGACTCGTTGCGCGCACGATGCGGCAAATTAAAGAGCAACGAGTTCTCTCCCGACCGGTCGACCGTGCGAGT